AAGGTTTGATGAATTGGGTGTGGACTCTGGAGGCAGTGATGGTGTGTAAGTTCGCAACCTTTATCGGCCCTGTGGTGGCCTGCAGCAGTCTCAAAGAAAATTTTTGCCCATGCACAGGTGATGCACCTGAACAGTCACAATCATGATCCAAACAGCAAGGGCCCATTGGAAAATGAAAACATCAGTCTCCTGCCGCTGAGGCTTGCGGTTCGGCAACTAGGGGCTCGGTTTAAAGGCCGACCGGCTTGACGAAAGGGGGGTTTGGATCCTCGGAACGTCGGAGGCAGTAATGGTCTGTAACCCTCCCTCCCTCCAGAGCTTCCCCCAAAGTAGTTACCATTGACTTTGGGGGAATGGGTTTGGATTCTGGAAACCCAAATATTGTTGGCGAGATGGACGTGTCGCTAGAATAGTCTTCTTGACCTTTGGGTTTGGATTCTGGAAACAAGCATGGATTGGAGCTGCTTTTGACATACATGCATAATTAATTCCTTACCGATCCTGGGCGAAGAAAGGTATGTCTTTCTTAACTATTGTCTCGACACGTCCATCTCCCCAACAACAATCTTTGGGTGGATAAATGATCCTGACAACATGGTTAAGGCTAGAGTGGTGAGTTGTCCTCATCACAGTGATTCCCAGGATGATATTAGTCTGTTCATCTCATTGCATCTGGGTTCAAACTTGAGTCTGTATATGAACAGTACCAACTGAGCTCGGAGCGTTGGTGATTTCCAGGAGGGCCCATTTGAGCCGCATCTCGCCACCATGTTGATCATCTAATTATTCGGTACATCGTGTTATAGGTATCTAACCCACAATGCCTGAGCCATAGATGATGGTGTTGTTTTACTGTTGTAGTTCAGAAGTTGGCACACATCTCGCCACCATGTTGATCATCTAATTATTCGGTATATCGTGTTATAGGTATCTAACCAGGGTTGCACTGGTGCCTACTGCCGACACCAACCGCCGACACCAACCACCGACACCAACCGCCGCCGACGCCAACTGCCGACACCAACCGCCGACACCAACCACCAACACCAACCGCCGACTGGTTGGTAAAACAGCACTGCAACTGGAAGTTGCAATCAACTGCAAACTTCCACAAGACCTTTAGCAGCGACTCTTCGGCACTCCAACTGCTCTAGAAGCAAAACAAATGTTGACAGAGAGCTCTGTAGTTTTGTGGTGCATCACTTCCCCCTGCAAGAGAGACCGTGGGTTGTGAAATTGATATGGATGGGAGATCTCTGTACCCTCCAGTTTGTTGTCTGACCGGACCTTATCTGGATTTCCTTGTGCGTATGCTATCGGATCTGCAGGTTATTGTTTCTCGAATGCGGTATATATCGGCTCAGACTGAACGACCAGTCCGCTTCATTGGTCTCTCAACAGCTTTGGCAAATGCAAGGTAAATGTAATGTAGGAGGTTCACACAACTCTGCAGCTATAGAGCAAGGATTTTTTTTTATATATATTTTTTTCCCAAACGGTCCATCCTTACAAATTCTGATGATGGAATCACATGTCAATGCAATCAGATTGTAATGGAGCGGAGAAGAAGGGACTCAGAAAACAAGAAAAAACTGGGAAATGCAAAATTGAGTCACGCAACCAAACTTCGGTCGAGCAGTGGACCATGTGTTTCTGTACTTGCTCCTTCTGTATGTTTTAAAAGTTAAAAGTTGACCCCTTGCATTAGCTACCGTTTGTTCTACCATTTGTTCTACTGTTTGTTTATTGTGCAGGTACCTGCGGGGCAAATTGCAGTAATGAGTAATTACTGTTTGCGGTTTGCAGCGCGCTGTGCGCCCATCAGGGGTGCGCGCATTGATGCGCGATGTGCGCGCATCAATGCGCAGTGCGCGATGCACTGCGCGGCACTTGGATGTGCAGTGCGCCAGTGCGCCGGGCCGAGCGCGTTCCGTGCGCATGGTGCGCTTGGGCATGGAGGGAAGGGGAGGACAACGACGGAGGGAGGAGGAGATCGGTGACGAGGGAGGGAATGGAGGAGGGAGGAGGAGATCGATAGCGACGGAGGAGGGGGAAGGGAGAAGGGCGGAGGGAGGACGACACCGATGATGGAGGGAAGGGGAGGACAAAGAAGAAGGGAGGAGGAGATCGATGACGAGGGAGGAGGAGATCGATAGCGAGGGAGGAGGGGGAAGGGAGAAGTGTGGAGGGAGGGAGACGCCGATGATGGAGGGAGGGGGAGAACAACGAAGGGAGGAGGGAGGGGGAGCAGTGGTGCACTATTAAAATTTTCATATGTGAAAAAAAAAAAAAAGGAGGACGACATGATGAAGGAGGGAGGGGGACGGCAGCAACGGAGGGAGGAGGAGATCGATGACAAGGGAGGGAATGGAGGAGGGAGGAGGAGATTGATAACCAGGGAGGAGGGGGAAGGGAGAAGGGCGGAGGGAGGATGACACTGATGATGCATGAGGGAGCAGTGGTGCACTATTAAAATTTTCATATGTGAAAAAAAAAAAAAAAAAAGGAGGATGACATGATGAAGGAGGGAGGGGGACGACAGCGACGGAGGGAGGAGGAGATCGATGACAAGGGAGGGAGGAGGGAGGAGGAGATTGATAACCAGGGAGGAGGGGGAAGGGAGAAGGTTGGAAGGAGGACGACGCTGATGATGCATGAGGGAGCAGTGGTGCACTATTAAAATTTTCATATTTGGAAAAAAAAAAAAAAAGGAGGATGACATGATGAAGGAGGGAGGGGGACGACAGCGACGGAGGGAGGAGGAGATCGATGACAAGGGAGGGAATGGAGGAGGGAGGAGGAGATTGATAACCAGGGAGGAGGGGGAAGGGAGAAGGTTGGAAGGAGGACGACGCTGATGATGCATGAGGGAGGGGGAGGACAACGACGGAGAGAGGAGGAGATCGATGACGAGGGAGGGAATGGAGGATGGAGTCCAACACCGAGGGAGGAGAGGGAAGGGAGAAGGGCGGAGGGAGGACGACCCCGATGATGGATGAGGGAGGGGGAGGACAATGACGGAGGGAGGAGGAGATCGATGGTGAGGAGGGAATGGAGGAGGGAGGAGTAGATCGATAACGATGGAGGAGGGGGAAGGGAGAACGGCGGAGGGAGGACAACACCGATGATGGAGGGAAGGGGAGGACAACAACGGCGGATGGAGGAGGAGATCGATGACGAGGGAGGAAGGAGGAAGAGAACTTGACGGAGGAGGGAGGAGGAGGGAGGTGGAGAAGAACGATGGCAAGGGAGAAACGGGGAGGAGGAGGAGCTGCACAGTTTCCACAGAGAGAGAGAGAGAGAGAGAGAGAGAGAGAGAGAGAGAGA